GGCCATTTTAATTTCTCCGCTGGCCAAAAGTCTTGTGCAGAGCTGCAATCTCAGCGGTGGAGGCTGGAAGCTGGCCTCAGCGAAGACTCGTCTGTCCCTGGGGCGTCACTGGAATCAGTCTCATGCCCTTCACTCCCCTATGACCACCGCAGCAGCTGCTCAGGATACGGCCTGGTCCCGAATATGGACACCTTGGGATCATCTCGTCTCTGGTCTTGGGTCCAATCAGTGACTCCGCAAAATCTAAGGACCTGGGGATGAGTATCCCCAGGTGGAAATGGAGAATACTGTACTGGAACCCAGTACTGGAAAACACCCATACACACTCATTCACACACATGCATGGCCAATTTAGTTTATTCAGTGCACCTATAGCGCATGTCTTTGGACTTGTGGGGGAAACCGGAGCACCTGGAGGAAACCCACGCCAACATGGGGAGAACATGCAAACCCCACACAGAACCGCCATCTGGTCCTGCCGGCACTCAAACCAGTGACCATCTTGCTGGGAAGCGACAGTGCTAGCCACTGAGCCACCGTGCCACACATAGATAGTTTTTATTTTATTTATTTTAGATTAAGTCGACTAGAAGAATCAGATAACCTTATTTAACCTATTCACAGCCGTTTTGTAGTTTAAAAGGTCACGTTTACTTTCTTTCTTCTCGACTCTAGGCCTCCAGTCAGACTGACCTAGAGAACTGGGTTACTGCCATTCATTCAGCAAGTGCCTCTTTGTTTGCGAAACGCTACGGCAAAGAGGACACACTGCGATTGTTACGTGGGCAGATCCGTGGCCTTCTCCAGAAAATCGACATGGATGGCAAAATGAAGAAAATGGCCGAGCTTCAGCTGTCCGTCGTTGGGGACCCCAAAAACAGAAAAGCTATTGAAAACCAGGTAAGGTTTATTGCAGTCATCCATTGTAATTGGCAGTGGTTTCAAACCCAATGCTTGGAGGCCCACAGCTCTGCACAGTTTGGAAGTTTCTAGTAATCTTAAAGAGCTGGATCAAGTGTATTTAATGCACTTACAAATTCCCCTTAGCACTTTCATTTAGAGAAATCCCCATCACTATTTCAAACTCTGTGTATTCCACTTTGTCAATTATAGGGAATTTTACTTGGACAGACTCTTGACGGTTTCATTTATACTTCCCAGCACCTACACTCACTGGCACTTTATTAGGTACACCTGTCCAACTGCTTGTTAATGCAAATTGAGAAAAAAAGCAGCTCAAATGTTTGTGCATGCTATGATATTATCACGTATGTCTTATTGTGCAATAATCTGGGGTCAAGTAACTGAAATGGCACCATTGTCAAATTCTTAAAAAATACAGTTTGTTAAGTTTTGATGTTTTCAAGTTGGATTTTGGTCATTTTCCAACACAACCTAAAATCAACCAAATATCAACATCTATTGATGTTACAGCTTGGCGCTGTGTGGACATTACCACTATGTTGTCTGTCAGATGTTGGATTTTGGTTGCCGTACCTGATGAATAAATGTCAGTATTTGACGTTATTATGACGTTGGTTTAAAATGTTGATTCAACGTTGGATTTTGGTCATTTTGCAACCTAAAACAAACAAAATATCAACTTCATTTCCTGTCGTTATTGGACACCAAAGTAACGTTGTCCTTAGACGCTGGCCACCTAAACCTCACCTAATTTTAATGATTATGATTTTGTGTATCTGCTGGGTCAACACATGAATGTTTGAAAAAAATATTAATGATTTATCACAGTTAGGTATCAGTTGCCTAAAGGGTTGTTGTTGTCATTATTGTTCGATAATCAGCATCATAAATCACTTAATATCAATATTGAGTAAGTCAAGTCAAGTCAAGTTTTATTTGTCACATACATAGTTATACAAAGTATGACCAGCAGTGAAATGTAGGTCAGGTCCGCTCCAGAGATGCAAGTATAGATAAACAAAAAATTAAATATTAAGGAAAAAGAAGAAAAAGAAAAAACGTGCAAAAATAAGATGTGCAAAAATCTTCAATCTTTTTGGTCAATCTTATTGTAATTGACCAATCACAATAAAGTATTCCAGAAAGACACAATAATCATCAAGTTTTCATTTTTAAAAACCATGTTTAAGTTTATACATCAGGCCCAGATTGGCTAATCGGGAGAACCTGGAGAATTCCCGGTGGGCCGGTCAATTTTTTGGCCGTAAGGGCTGGTGTCCCTAGCTGCTTGCACTCTCAGCAGTTGCACTTTTTTAATTTATTTGTTTATTTGACCATAATCTCACTCTTTTTAATCATTATTTTGCCACAGCTCCGCTCTTTTTATTTATTTTCCCGCAGCTCCGTGAGCAAAATGCAGCCCGCAGGTTAATGACGATCATCATTAGCCTGCGGGCTGCACCCTATTCCACCCCAAACAGCGGCAACTTAGTGAATATTAATTTATATTAATAAATATTTCACCTGCTCAATGAAAATCAGATGATTCACTACATTAATAAATCTGACATAACTTGATCAGAAATCTAAAAAGGGGAGAAAAAGAGCAGGGTAAAAAAAAAGTAGACATCATTAGCAGCAGATAACAGCACCGTCGTGGTCTAGTGGTTATTACGTTACGCTATGACGCAGCCGACCTGAGTTCGAACCGCACCAGATTATAATGTTTTTTTTCATTTTCAGTGTTGAGACATAAAATACTGTTTGGGTTACTTATGTAGGAATACATATTTTTTTGTGTGACGACCGTTACAAAGGACTGTATATCTATAAAGAATTATTGTTCTCATATTTATGAAAAACATTTGAAGTTCTAAAGCAGCTGTGTCCTTGAAAAAGACGTTGTGGCGAGGGGGCATGGCTGAGAGCCGTGGGAACGGGGTGAGGCCACCGCGTAAGTGGATACACCTGCGGTGCGACCTGCCTCAGATCCCACGGAAGGAGCTCTGGACCATAAAAGGAGGACCGATGGCAGAGGAAGCCGAGAGAGGACCGGGCCCGGACATATTTTACTTTTGCTTTAAGTTTGACGGAGCTGCCGTCACTGTTATTAATAAATCAGTTAAAAACTGCGTCGGTTCTCCACCTCCTTCTTCCCGGCGGCCAAAGGGCCGTGAACTTTATTACAGTGGTGCCGAAGCCTGGGAGAAGGAGGGACGCGTTGTCCAGATGCCCTCGCCGCTGAGAGAAGGGGCGAGTGTTCTGGAGTTAACCCGAGTGGGGGAGAAACCCGTTCGTCTGCCCAGAGTGCCGGGGCGGCCTGAGGCTGGTGAGGAAAGGATCTGCCTGGGGAGGAGCAGGGTACGCAGGGCTCCCCACCGGAAGGGAAAGTGCTGAAGGGAGCCATCCCACAGAACCCGGGGGAGTCGCCGCGATCCGCCATGATGCCAGAGCCTGCATACGTCCACTGAAGCGGGAGCGGAGCAGGAGACCAGAAATGCCGCTAGCCAGCCAGGAGAACCGCCGCTGGACGGCAGAAGACGGACGGGTGGATAGATTCCTCCACAGGGCTCCCAGCACGTCGTCGCATCTCTCAGCTGGTGGCGGACCGAGTGGCAGCGTGTCTGGAGAACCGAACCCCAATTTTTTTTGCTTTTTCCTCTCTCCCCTTTCTCGGTCTACTCTGTCTTTCCTCCTTTTTTTCCATCTCCTTTTCTCTTGGCCCGTCTCATATAGGTCTCGCGGGTGCTGTGGTGCCAAAATCCCCCCCCCCTGTTATTAATAAATCAGTTAAAAACTGCATCGGTTCTCCGCCTCATTCTTCCCGGCGGCCAAAGGGCCATGAACTTTATTACAGACGTGTTAGTGTCATTTGAAACTGAATTGGAAATGACGTTATTTTAATAAAGTCAGTCGTCGACTGAGGTGGGCCGGTCTAAGGCTTGAAACTCCAGAGCTAAAAAGGAGTCCCACTCCGGCCCTGGTATACATGGTCTTGCCCCTAAAGTAGTCTGTGAATTGGTACATAAATTCAGTAGTGATGTGGCGAAGACTAGAGGGGCAGTAAGTGGGAATTGTAGAATCCGCAGATGCAGAACCACTGTGGGTCAGTCATCCTTTTCAGTAAAAGGTTCACATCTCTGGAATGCCATGCCTGTTCATTTAAAGTTACGATCAGAACTACCAATTTTTTTTCGGTAAAGCTGAAAGAATGGTTGAAATCTTTACAGCAGTGTGAGCTTTAAGTATTATGCTTTCAGGTTGGTCACGTTTACATTTCTCTTTATGCCAATTGACTTGCATTTTTGTTTGTGGCTCTGTATATATTGTACATGTTTGCTGTAGGCCTATTGTGTTTTATTCTTTATTAAGGGTGTCATGATTTCGATTTTAAATCGAAATCGATCGAAATTTATACTTAATTTCGATTATCGAATCAAAAAATAGAATCGTCGATGCTGCCACGCCCCCATGTCACGTCAGCTTGGCTTGCCAAGTGGGAAAAAAAACACGCTTGTTGAAGTGCTTGTTAAACTGCAGATGCAGAAGACCCGTCGACAGAGCTTAAACCCTCTCCTCTTTCAATGAAGTCGCCGGTGTGGAAGTATTTTGGATTTCCAGTGAGTTATGTTGACAGCGTTCGTGTTGTCGACAAAAAAAAACACAGTTTGCAAGCTCTGCTATGTACGTATTAGGGTTGGGCCGATAGACGATGGGCGCATCGCGATCTTCTGCCCCGCACCCGTTGCAAATCCGCTCGCGAAAAATACACACTCATGCCCTGTTTACACTAATAGTTCTTAGTTTTTAAATGGCATTTTAGAACGACAACGATCCACATCCACAGTGGCGTTTAGCATTTCTGAGCAGCCCTCCTTCCTCACTACCGCTGAAAACGCACATCACGTGACCACACAAACACAGACGCACACACACACAGACGCACACACAGTCATGCGCTCGAGACATCGGGTCCAGGCAGTCAGCAGGTCAGTAGACTGCTTAAATCTTTAACTTTCACACCTGTACTTAGTCATTTTAGCGAACACCTCAGATACTGTTGGCTGGTTTCTGTTGGTTGTGCACCTTTTTTACCGACGCCATTATAACGACACAAATCACTGCCTATTCTTGAGTCCCGCAGAAAGTGATTGACAGGTGGTAATTATGTGTGTAACTTACCTTTATTCATTCACTGAATGATTTGTTTATGGGTAAAACAAAGACCATGCAGGTCAGGTAGTTTAAATGGTAGGCTACAAATAATTAATTGATTGTTTATCAATTAATTATTCATAATCGAAAATCAAAACAAACCGTGATTTAGGAATCGAAAATGTAATCGAATCGAGGATTTGGAGGATCGTGACACCCTTATTCTTGATTGTTTTATTTTTATTTTATACTTTATGCCCTGTGTATGCAACATCGGTTATCTTTGTAGAACAATGTCCAGTGTATTGTCCGTGTAGAATAAAAAAGCAAAAAAAAAACGAGTTATATTAAAGAATGTTGAAGAACCTGTAACCATTCACCTTCCATAGTAGGAAAAGCAAGTACTATGGAAGGTTTCAGGTTTCCAGGACTCTTCAATGTATCTTTTGTGTTCAACAGAACAAAAACAATGCTCAAACTGGTCTGGAACAAGTCATGGGGGAGTAAACAGTGACAGAATTTTCAACTATCCTAACAATATCTGTGTGTGAGTTTGATATGTTGAAGAAGACAATACAGAGTATGTGCTTTAATATCTCTTAAAGACAATGAAGGTGCAACTACAAAAGATCTGAGTGATTTTGTTTGAGGCTTTGTCATGAGGTGTTCAGAGATTTCCCAATCCCTTCGTTTTGTCTGAAACGGTGAGGTAAATCATTGAAGGCTTTGCCATGTTAACAGAAGGTATGCTAATCTTACTAGGATGCATGACCCACATAGCTTTAGTTGACTAATGTAATTAGAAGTTTTTCCCTCTCCCTGATAACAATCAAACCAAGACTTCATGGGAAATTCTGGAGCTGACGCAAAGGTCAAAGGGGGAGTCAGGGGGTGCCAGGCGCTGGATGAGAGATTTGGGGAAGGGGAAGAGGTTAGAATGGTCTGAGAAACCTGACCACTTTGATCTGTTGTCTTCACAAATCAGTGCCAGCTGAGCAGTTTGAAGTCTCCACTGACCTCACCTTCCCCTCCCCCCCCAAAACTCAATTATAATTGTTTTACATCTACAACACTAACACTAAAGCGCTCTGTATGAGCCAGGGGAACGTTCAAAGACACAAATGAAGGTTAAAGGTGTGGACCGGTTCAATTAGCACTGGAATAAGAAACAATACCCATCCAGAATTTGAGAGTTGGATAGTTTGCACACAATTATTTCAGCAAGCTAAATGAAATTCAGCCTGGGTATTGCTTGTCTTGTTTACTTCAGCTTTCTTAAAGTTCTGCTTGTTTTTAGAGCAATAATGCTTTTCATCTCAAGTGATAATTGCTTTGTAAAATGTGTGTCTTCTCTGTACCATTTAAACACTTTGTTTCTGGGTACACATTTATAGAAAATGTCTGGGATCCAAAGCCTTGTACAAGCCACTGTGTTCTTTTTAGTGTCTAAGCTGCACCTCCTTAAAATGCAGTTCATCACTAGAATTTCCACGTTATTGGCACAGTGCCTGTCCAGGCTGATCGTGCATGTGTCACTCAACAGATTATGTGTGACTTTAATAGTTCAAGAAACGTTAATCATAATGTCACTAAACTATGCTAAAAGCTCACACGTACAGTGCATACGGAAAGTATTAATATCGCTCCACTTCTTCCACATTTATGTTTGAAGCTCTAAATTGAGCTCAGGTACATTCTGTTTCCACTGATCATTCTTGTGATGTTTCAGCAGCTTAATTGGAGTTCACCTTTGGTGAATTCAGTTGATTGGAAATTATTTGAAAAGGCATACACCTGTCTATATAAGGTCCCAGGGTTGACAGTGCATGTCAAAGCACAAACCAAGCATGAAGACAAAGGAATTGTCTTTAGACCTCCGAGACAGGATTGTCTCGAGGCACAAGGCTGGGGATGGTTACAGAAAAAGTTCTGCTTCTCTGAAAGTTCCAATGAGCACAGCGGCCTCCATCATTCGTTAGTGAAAGATGTTTGGAACCACCAGGACTCTTCCTGGAGCTGGCTGGCCATCTAAGCTGAGTGATTGGTGGAGAAGGGCCTTTGTCAGGGAGGTGATCAATAACCAGATTGTCACTCTGTCTGAGCTCCAGCGTTCTTCTGTGGAGAGAGGAGAACCTTACAGAAAGATAACCATCTGTGCAGCAATCCACCAATCAGGCCTGTATGGTAGAGTGGCCAGACAGAAGACACTCCCCGCCTGGAATTTGCCAAAAGGCATCTGAAGGACTCTTAGACCATAAGAAACAAAATTCTCTGGTCTGATGAGACTAAATTTAAACTATTTGGAGTGAATGCCAGGTGTTACGTTTGGAGAAAACCAGGCAGCGCTCATCACCAGGCTAATACCATCCCTACAGTAAAGCATGGAGATGGCAGCATCATGCTGTGGGGATGTTTTTCAGCAGCTGGAACTGGAAGGCTAGTCAGGATAGAGGGAAAAATGAATCCAGCCATGTACAGAGACATCCTGAATGAAAACCTGCTTCAGAGTGCTCTTGACCTCAGACTGGGGCGACCGTTCATGTTCAAGCAGGACAATGAGCAAAAGCACACCGCCAAAATATCAATGGAGTGGCTTCACAACATTTGGGGAATGTCCTTGAGTGGCCCAGCCAGAGCCCAGACCTAAATCCTATTAAACATCTCTTGAGAGATCTGAAAATGGCTGTACACCGTCGCTTTCCATCCAACCTGATAGAGCTTGAGAGGTACTGCAAAGAGGAATGGGCAAAAATTCCCAAAGACAGGTGTGCCAAGCTTGTGGCATCATATTTTTAAAAAAAGACTTGAGGCTGTAATTGCTGCCAAAGGTGCATCAACAAAGTGTTGAGCAAAGCCTGTGAATACTGAGGTACATCTGATTTTTCAAGTTTTTTTTTTTACTTTTAATAAATTTGCAACAATTTCAAAAAACTCTTTTTCAGGAAATAAATGAATTTAATCCATTTCGGAATAAGGTTATAACATTAAAAAATGTGGAAAAGGTCAAGCGCTATGAATACTTTCCGGATGCACTGTAGAGCTTAATTGTGACCGATGCAATATTGAGCCAACTACACTATCTCATATGTGTGGTCTTGTTCAAAATTCAAGGGTTTCTGGCAGTTATTATTTAAATATCTCTCTGATGCACGAAATACCTATATAAAACCTGTGGCTATGATTTCAGTATTTGGTATCACAACACACTCGTTATGTTTTAATAAGGCAAGATAAATGTGATAGCCTTTGCTACGGTTTTAGCTAGAAGGTAAAAATTGCCTTTAAGCAATGGCTCATGGAACTTCTATACCACCTGACCTTAGAAAAAACACACGATATACTGTAAGTGGTTGTACTGACATGTTTTATCACACTTGGCAACGTGTTTTAGATCACTTAAAGACCCTTCAGTTGTTTTAGAAGAATAGAACCTTTGTTATTTTTTATTATTTCTTTTTCTTTTCTTTTTATATGCGTAAAATATCTTTTAATTAAAATTATTGCTTTTTTGTATTTATTTTTATATTATTTTATGAATTTTTATTCATAGAATTTTTTTTTTGACATTTTTATAGAACCTAAATGTACATGTGTGTCACGGGTTTTGTTTGTTTGTTGTCTAAAAAAAAGAAAAAGTGAAGAGCTATTTATGCTGCATGGATTATATCCGACATGTTAAAAAAAACACCTTTAGGAAAAAATTATTTATTATGTATTTGAACATTCTTTGAAACATTTTGGGATAATATTAGTTCATACGTCAGCTATTTCACAATACCATTTTGGACATTTTCTGTTGGTGTAGACACATTTTTAAAATAACAACCTTAGAAGGTGTAGAAGGAGCCTAAATGGTACATTAGTCATGACTGTCAGTCAAACATCGCTCTCTGTTTTAAGTGGGTTGTTTAGACTAAGTTTTTAGAAAATCTGCAAACTAATATTCTTCATGGAATTGTGATTAACAGCCCTGGCATGTTTCTTTCCCTATTTTAATCTGTTTTGTCAAAACAGCAAAGCCCTAAATTCCAGGGTTTCCCCTATGAGCTATTTTTTATTACAATAGATAATGGCTTTTGCGGATTAGAGAAAGTCCCATTATGCCCCTCTCACATCTGAGAGCAATTACAGCCACAAACATCCATGACTCAGTCTGTTTCTGCCACTATAGATAACAAAAAGCATCATTGTGCTTGTCACTAGTGGGAGCAACACCCTTTCTCACTGATCATTTCTTTCATTTGTTTACAGATTCAACAATGGGAGCAGAATCTCGAGCGCTTCAATATGGACCTTTTCCGCATGCGATGCTACCTGGCCAGTCTGCAAGGAGGCGAGCTCCCCAACCCAAAGAGCCTCCTAGCCACGGCCAGCCGCCGCACCAAAGCTGCACTAGCCCGATTGGGAATCTTCTCCGTCTCCTCCTTCCATGCACTGGTTAGTAGCCTTGACTGTAAGCTATTACTCTGTCCAGATTGATGGGAGCTGATCATTCCGTTGTGGTGATCCCAAATAAAGAAGAGGTAAACCTGAAGGAAAGCAGAAGTGAGATCCGTGGGTTCTCTGCCTACAGACTATTTTGGGGGATGTAAACAAAAACAATGGTCCCAACGTATTTCCTGATTTACATTTTTAATTTCTATAGTTTCCGAGAATTCAAAAAGAGCCACATATTGATAAATAAAGTTATTATAGCTGTTTTAACATTACATTATGGTTGAATTGTTACAGTTATAAAATAGTTTAATAACAAGCAGGAAATATTCATGGGCCAATGACTTGACATGACGACATTGAAATGGTCTATACATTAAATTTCTGTCCCCAACCTCAACCTTTTTATCAACGTGGCCCAGGTGTGGGTGTATGTAGATTGCTAAGCGACCTTCAACAGTTCTCTCAGAGGATGACCAGCTGACAAAACATTGTTGCAACTCTGATACAAGTTTTATTTATAGTGAAAATTAAAAATCGTTGGGTGTTTGAGTGTTCTGCGCTGGATGTTATTGCCTGGACGGTGAGAGCTTGTTGCCCCCAATATGTGCATCGCTTCCAATATGCAAACCCCTTAAGTCTGGTTTATACTTCTGCGTCAAGTGACTGGCGTAACCCATGGCGCATGCAACGTGGTAGCTGTGCATTTATACTTCTGTGCATTGTCTCTGTTGGTCTGCATTACACTTCCGAAACGCTAGTTGGCAGTGAGGTGTTAATATTCCTCTCTGTCGAGTTTCTTCGCTGCTGTTTTGCTTTTCCTGAACACTTCCGGGATGTACAAGTGGCTCAAACTCGCTCATTTTGAGGCAGGAACCGGCGGACGTGCAACAACTTTAACTATGAGGTAAACACAAAACAAAACTTTCCATGCGGAGCTTCTTCACGGGACTCCACACTTGTAAACAATCGCTTCATCAGGCTCGCGCCATTCACGCTGCTCTCGGTCCCGTCCAGACTCGTCAGCGATACCAAGCCAACCAATCACAGAGCTTGCGCTACGCGTCATTGCGACGTGTAGTTACATTTTTTGAGAGGTGCACGTCAGCGACGCCGACGGCAACGGCGAAGGGTTATGCGTCAGCGCCGTAGCATACGCCGGCGTTTGACAGAGAAGTATAAATCAGCCTTAAGGCGCCGTCATTTGCGATCAGTGTTGGGGAAAGTTACTTTTGAAAGTAATGCATTACAATATTAAGTTACCCCCCCCCCCAAAAGTAACGAACTGCGTTACTTAGTTACTTTTTATTGATAGTAATGCGTTATGTTACCTTTGAGTTATTTTTGGGTTACTTTTCCTTATGCCGAGTGCATGATTTTACCCCTGATTTTGACTCAACGACTCAAATGCCTGACGACTCAAATGCCTGAAATCACAGGCAAATCGGTGCTTGTGCACGTGAGTGACAATCACACAGTATGATCTATCAACGACGTGATCTGAGAGAATCACCAATGAGTCGCCGATGCCTGCGAGATATTTGGCGTGCAAAATTTCTGGAGCTGTTGGCGATTCAAATCATGCCGTGTGAAATGAGTTTTGACTGAAAATAACATCAGCGATCGCCTACAGCCAAGGAGAGAGCAGCTTTCACTTGTGTGTGTGTGTGTACCTGCAGGCCAGTGGGAGGTTGAGGGAGAAGTTAAAAGCGCTCATTTTTGGTTATTTGGACCCAAGAAATGGAGGAAAAACTAGTATAAATTTGACAGGAGCACCCGTGTCTGTTTCACGTTTCATACAGAAAGTTAAAAAAGAAAGTTGGGGAGAAATGGCTAATTCCCTTTAAACCCAGGTGAGCAAATATGTACATTTTCTACCCCATTAAAGGCTTTTTTCTCATTATGTAGTTAATAACAAAAGATAAACGACGTGTTTTTGGCTGTGAGACGTAGTTTGGACAAAGTTGTTGGCGATTCTTCCTATAGTAAAGTCATGCAATGTGAATGTCCCTGTCGCCGATCCATCTTGCAGTGTAAACAAAGCCATGATAGTCATGCAGTGTGGAAACATCTGTGACACGACTACTTTGAAAATCATGCAGTCTGAGCTCGGCATTTCCTGGCTGAGGTTTGATCTTTTACAGAACTTGCAGGTGTTTTTTTCACCTTTTTCATCTACCAGATTGACCAGCTAAGGCCGTACTCACACTAGGTACAGTTGCCTCGTACTGGGCCAAAGCACGCTTGTCCCCCCTCCCGTCTCCCCCGACGGCCCGCACTCACACCACAAACGGGCCTCGGCCCCGCACTCACACCACAAACGGGCCTCGGCACGCTTACGTCATCGCTGCTGCGCTGTTCAGTGAGAAGCGCTCTCTCACTCAGCAACACAGTGGAGATTCTCTAGTTATATCGTTTCAGATGTTTATTATGCAGTGACATGCAGTCAGATATTTCGCCAAACAGTCCTTAGGGATGCGGTGACACGCAGTCAGATATTTCGCCGAACAGATCCGCCACTTTTGGCGCTCATAAACAATCATAAAGCTCTCGTGCTGCAGGAATGAGGAGGTCTGCTGAAGCCGCGCAGCGGTCGTGCAGTAAGGAGTTCTTGTCTTTAATAAACTACGGCAGTTTGCGTTCACTGAACATTAAGAATGATTAATAAATCCATATAAAACAGCCCCTTAAAAGTCACATCTCGCTTTCAGTTTCTGGCTTTGGCGGGTATTGCACTCACACACAAGCGTACCGTGCCAAAGCCCAAGTGAACCGTGCTCAGGCACACCTCTTCCAACCGGGCCAGGGCCGGCCAAGTGAACCGTGCTTGAGCCCGATTCAGCGCACTCACACTTCTCAAACGATCCAGGAAACGGGCCTGGGCACGGTACGGATGGCATAGTGTGAGTAGGCCCTAAGACCAATGGCTTGAAACCAGCCTGGAAATGGCCAAAGCCCCTCTAAAACCAGCCTGGTCAACTAGCTAAAACCAGCCAACCAGCCTAGACGGGTTTAGGCTGTTTTTTTAAGTAGGATTAGCTGCCTGCTGCAACTACTGTTCTCGTCTCCCAATGCTCTTTTCACCTGAAGATATTGTACGAGGACGCCATTTATTGTTACATCTGCAATTTCTGTCTAGCTTCTTACCGCAAATCTCTTTGTTGTCCTACAGATCTGTTCCAGAGATGAGGCCACGATGCGAAAGCGCTCTCTGTCTCTCTCCCACAGAGGCCGCAGCAAGAAAGGGGTCTTTTCATCCCTTAAGGGCCTGGATACTCTTACCAAGCGAGGCCATGAAAAAAAGCATTCTCTCTCACAGGTAGTACACCCACTCCGTCTGACTTAACCCAAATGTTCGGAAAGTCTATTTGCATATCAAGTTTTATGTATTATGTTCATGCTGGTGGGAAATTCCTCCCACAGGTGCAAATAAAAAGACTTTGATAAATAAAGACTCTCTAAAGGTAGTAATTACAGAGCTGACAGGATTCAAAATGCAGTCGGTTCCCCCGCATCACCTCCCTTCTCCGAAATGCTCAGAGATAATAAAGGGGCTATTTTCACTCGTAGGAATTTCATATCTGGTTACCAAGTTTAAAGCCTCGAGGTTTTGATGAAGCTGATGATGTTTCCTCCCTGTTGAGCTGTTACTGCGCTGTGCTAATAATGGTGGTAAATTGTCAGTTAAGGAACTGGGCCGGGCTGTTTGTTTAAACCCAGCGAGGGGTGACCCGTGAGCCAGAGTATTTTATAGATTTCCTGTCAGGACCGTGCCCTTGAGAAAAGCATTTAACAGCAGGTTGTTGCAGGTGGGACTGTCTCTGCAATTAGACAACTGTGTGTTGTTTGGAATGGAAAGTGGCAGATAAATGAGTAACCCATGCCTGTTTTGCTGAATCTGTTGCATTTCTTTACCACCTAGTAAGCCGTCTTAAGGGCCGATCACAGCAAACATGCTTTTACTTTCCCAAATTGCAAGGCGCACTTTTTTGTTATGTCCCTAGTCAACGACTGAATCAGCTCCCTGTTGTGCGAGAGTGTTGCTGTTGATATTAATGTAGTTGTAATATTTAATATATTTTGATATTCAAGATTTGTGAAGTCATGTAGCTCTGGAAAACTCAAAACAGCAACCACAAGTCCATCTTCAAAAGTATCCGTAGTCATTTAGACAACAAAATCACTGCAGGCACATCAACGGAAACCCCGCCTCTGCTTTCATTTGATTGGATAATTAAAAAGATACAACTGACGCTACACCATTTTTTCGCTCAGAGTTTACTTTTTTTCACGCAAGGGCAAAAACGCGAGGCGCAGCAGGCAGTTAAAGCGCAAGGTGCACAGGGCGCATAAGCAGTGCGCAAAATGCTCGCTGCCGTTAGTAAATCATTCAAAAAAGGCGCCTCTCAATGCAAAAAAATTGTTCGGTATGATCGACCCCTTAGTCTGTATAAGGGGCCAATCACACCAAACATGCTTTTCCGTTCCAAAAATGCGAGACACACCGCACTGCTATTTTTGTTGACAAGAAAAACAAGTACGACTGAATCAGCTGCATAACGTGAGCGAGTGTTGATATTAATATAATTGTAATATTTAAAATTAATGTTAAATTCAAAATTTGTGAAGTCATAAAGCTCCGGATAACTCAAAACAGCGACCACAAGTCTCTCCTCCATCTTCAAAAGTCTCCGTAGTCATTTTGACAACACTAACACTGCAGGCACCTCAACGGAAACCCCGCCTCTGCTTTCATTTGATTGGAGAATGAAAAAGACTGGACTAACGTAACACGCTTTTTTTCCGCTCAGAGTTGACTTTTTTTAACTGTGAGTGCACAGCGTGCTACGGTAAAAACGCGAGGTGCACAGGGCGCATAAGCAGTGCGCAAAATGCTCGCTGCCGTTAGTAAATCATTCAAAAAAGGCGCCTCTCAATGCAAAAAAATTGTTCGGTGTGATCGACCCCTTTGTCTGTATAAGGGCCAATAACACCGAACATGCTTTTCCGTTCCAAAAACGCGAGACACACCGCACTGCTATTTTTGTTTACAAGAAAAAAAAGTTCAACAACTGAATAAGCTGCATAATATGAGTGAGTGTTGATATTAATATAATTGTAATATTTAATAATATTGGTAAATTCAAAATTTGTGAAGTCATACAGCTCCGGATAACTCAAAACAGCGACCACAAGTCTCTCCTCCATCTTCAAAAGTCTCCGTAGTCATTTTGACAACACTAACACTGCAGGCACCTCAACGGAAACCCCGCCTCTGCTTTCATTTGATTGGAGAATGAAAAAGACTGGACTAACGTAACACGCTTTTTTTCTGCTCAGAGTTGACTTTTTTTAACTGTGAGTGCACAGCGTGCTACGGTAAAAACGCGAGGTGCACAGGGCGCATAAGCAGTGCGCAAAATGCTCGCTGCCATTAGTAAATCATTCAAAAAAGGCGCTTCTCAGCGCAAAAAAATTGTTCAGTGTGATCGACCCCTTAGTCTGTATAAGGGGCCAATCCCACCAAACATGCTTTTCCGTTCCAAAAATGCGAGACACACCGCACTGCTATTTTTGTATACAAGAAAAACAAGTACGACTGAATCAGCTGCATAACGTGAGCGAGTGTTGATATTAATATAATTGTAATATTTAATAATATTGTAAATTCAAAATTTGTGAAGTCATACAGCTCCGGAAAACTCAAAACAGCGACCACAAGTCTCTCCAACATCTTCAAAAGTCTCCGTAGTCATTTTGACAACACTAACACTGCAGGCACCTCAACGGAAACCCCGCCTCTGCTTTCATTTGATTGGAGAATGAAAAAGACTGGACTAACGTAACACGCTTTTTTTTCCGCTCAGAGTTGACTTTTTTTAACTGTGAGTGCACAGCGTGCTACGGTAAAAACGCGAGGTGCACAGGGCGCATAAGCAGTGCGCAAAATGCTCGCTTCCGTTAGTAAATCATTCAAAAAAGGCGCCTCTCAATGCAAAAAAATTGTTCGGTGTGATCGACCCCTTTGTCTGTATAAGGGCCAATAACACCGAACATGCTTTTCCGTTCCAAAAACGCGAGGCACACCGCACTGCTATTTTTGTCTACAAGAAAAAAAAAAGTACAACAACTGAATAAGCTGCATAATATGAGTGAGTGTTGATATTAATATAATTGTAATATTTAATAATATTGTGAAATTCAAGATTTGTGAAGTCATACAGCTCCAGATAACTCAAAACAGCGACCACAAGTCTCTCCACGATCTTTAAAAGTCTCCGTAGTCATTCTGACAACACTAACACTGCAGGCACCTCAACGGAAACCCCGCCTCTGCTTTCATTTGATTGGAGAATGAAAAAGATTCGACTAATGTTACGCTTTTTTTTCCCGCTCAGAGTTGACTTTTTTCAACTGTGAGTGCACAGCGTGCTACGGGTAAAAACTTGAGGTGCAGCAGGTGGTTAAAAAACGAGGGACGCATAAGCAGCGTGCAAAACGCTTACTGCTGTTAGTAAATCATTCAAAAAAAGGCGCCTCTCAACGCAAAAAACAAATTCAGTGTGATCGACCCTTAAAGGCTTGTACACACCGGGACGCTTTTCAATTGTGTTTATCGTCAGCGTTTTTCAAGATGCTTTTCCGGATTGAAACCCTAGCGCTTTTCACTGGCATCGAGCAGAAGAGTATGCAAAATCACTCTATGACGTTAGATGGCGCTACACAACTTGAAGCTTCTGGCACCCACTTGTAACACAGAAGAGGAAGACTAGGTTGACACGCTTCTTGTTATGGATGGTTTAAGTAGCAGCTCCAGCTCTTGTGATGAAGAAATTCTTGCTCTTGTTCACCAGAGCAAGAAGCAGCTTCATGTTCGTATTGCCTCTGGCCTGGGCATCTTCTTCAATGTGTGATCGCGTTGACCGTTTTGCACTTGAGCGCCTCCAAGTGCTGTTTACTGTAACTTCAGCAGCTCTGTGCACATGAACAAAAGTGCCAATCTGATTGGTGGAGAAGGTTTTGATGTGGCACATCAAAACAAGATGACCATGAGGCATTTCTTTTAAAAATGACGCTTTTATGTCTGCCGTTTTGCACGTCGGTGTGCACGACCACATTGGCGCCCTTTATTTTGTCACGAGGCGTTAAGCGTCCCAGTGTGCACGGGCCTTAATTCTGTATAAGTCTGGAAGATTCCTCATGTTGTCTTCTTCATTTTGGCTTTGTGAAAAGGACCTCAGTGAATTGAGCTGCTGTTCTTACAGTGGTCTTCCGCAGGTAAGAAATACAAGTTTGCTGGACCGCAGCTAGCATAGCATGGCTTGTAGAATAATCTTGATGTGTTTTGGAGATATAATTGCGTTTACATTTGTTTTTTTTTATTCACGTTTTTACTCAAGACCACTTTCCTGATTTATTACAGGGGACGGGTATTGAACCATATGACCAAAATAAATCTAAATACTTACACAATTGGGCAGCACTGTGGCTCAGTATTGTTGCCTCACAGCAAGAAGGTCACTGATTCGAGTTCTGACTGGGCCAGTTGGCGTTTCTGTGTGGAGTTTGCATGTTCTCCCCGTGTTGTCGTGGATTTCCTCTGGGTTCTCTAGTTTCCCCCACAGTCCAAAGACATGCGCTATGGGTGAATTGGGTAAACTAAATTGGTTGTATAGTGTATGTGTGTGTGTGTGTGTGTGTGAATGAGTGTATAGATGTTTCCCAGTACAAGGTTGCAGCTAGAAGGGCATCCGCTGTGTAAAACATATGCTCGAATAGTTGGCGGTTCATTCCACTGTGGCGACCTCTGAAATAAAGACTAAGCTGAAGACAAATTAATTAATAAATGGATGTTTTTAAAAAACAATCATATCGGTGACAGATTGGCAGCAAATTTGCCAATATCGATACATCAACGAGAGGCTCGATAAACGATTGGCCAATAAAATTGCCAAAATGATATGTTGGTCAGGCTGTAGTAAATATAAAGATGAGAAGGCAATCTGATTGGCTGTGAGTAGTCTTGCCAGTTCTGATTGTTTGGGTTTCCTTGTGTACAGAGCCAGATTTGAACCAATTGAAGGTCATGTGGAGTGCTTTGAAATGTCCAATTTTTTTATTTGAAATTTGACGTAATCTCAACTTATAGACAAGGTGGTACATAAAGCAGTTCTCGCGTTTATAAAAAAAAAAAGCTGATTTTTTTTTTATATTAATCACAGCTCTGTCAATGAGAGTGGTTGAGATTAAGCATATCAAATGAAAAGCAAGCGAAAAGTTAAGGGGCGGGACATACTATAGAACATTTGATCGGTTAGTCCAGGGGTGTCCAAACTTGGTCCTGGAGGGCCGGTGTCCTAGAGAGTTTAGTTCCGACCCTAATCAAACACACTTGAAAAAGCTAATCAGGCTCTTGCTAGATATACTAGAATCTTCCGGGCAGGAGTGTTGAAGCAAGTTAGAGCTAAACTCAGCAGGACACCGGCCCTCCAGGACAGAGTTTGGACATCCCTGGGTTAGACAATTTAATTAAAAAAACTGAGGTATGAGGTGATGTAAAAAAAAAAAAAATAATAAAATCGCTGAGCCATTTACCCTAAAGTTTATATCAGGTTTATGTCTTCTAAATGCTAATTTTGTTTTGGAGCACACTAGCTTACAGATTTCCCCCTTAAATTAACATGCTGATACTAAAATCTTAAAAACTTTAGTTTAATTTCATGGTATACCTTTAACTATTGAACGTAATTCAGAAAAATCACCCAAAAAAATCACATATTTATATAAATATGTCACATTTAAAATTTAGTACGTTTTCTGCTACATATTCGATAGCATGCACATTCCCATAGTATGCATTATTATTCAATAACTATTATATTTAATAATATATTTATTCATTATTCTTATACTATGCCCTTAACCTAAATGAACAATGCATGAGAGTCAATTCTAGGGTAAATTAGTTCAATTGTTCGTTTGTCACTGAATGAATCACTGAATGAATCCAGTGTCAAAATCTCAGAGGACTAGCATGTAGTCCTTGTCCCTCGCTGTCATGTGTCTTGTAGCGGGAGATCCAGCCAGCTTTGCTAACGAGCCCCATTCATTTCACACCACAGAAGGCTGAGGTGTGGAGACGGACAGAGAGAGAAATATATTATGAATTATTAAAAGCCATATGTGGTAAATTGCAGCCTGCTGTACCCTACCCTGCAGCGACACACAGATGGTTTGTATAAGAGCCCTATGCTAGGTACTAAATATTAAACAGGCCAACCTTTTGCTGCAGTAGCCATCCCAACAAAGTGCATTTTTCGTCTTCCTGTTCGTCACCATCTTTTGAGAATGTCCGTCATTCATTTGGCTTTTAATTTCACAAAGAAGTACATTGTTAGCCGCGGGTAGTCATCTTGTTTAGGCTAATAAATTGGTCCCCATTAACTATAGGTCTTCCCGTAAGTATAGGAGTTTCCTATTTTTCTCGGTAAAATGTGTGTGTGCTTTACAAAACATTTATATATAATAGCATTTATTAGGGACCAAGCACTGGTGGTGCATTGGCCCTATTGCAGAGGTGACCAACCCTGTTCCTGGAGAGCCACCTTCCTGCAGATTTCAGTTGCTACCCATATCAAACACACCTGAACCAATTATTTGGACCTGAACACCACGTGATAATTACAGGCAGGTGTGTTTGATATGGGCTGCAACTGAAATCTGCAGGAAGGTGGCTCTCCAGGAACAGGGTTGGCCGCCCCTGGCCTATTGGAATAGCTCCGTTTATTCTTCTTCTTCTTCTTTTCCTCTATAATGAATCACATTTTTCAGGGTCTTAACATGCTTGAAAACTTACGAAAGTTTGCGCGCACAACAGAAGTGGCGAAAATTTCAGTTTTTTTAGGCTTCTGTTGTGGGTGTGGCAAAATGGCTCAACAGCACCACCTATGTTCGACGAAGTAGACCCCGAGCTACGATTCATGCACACATACCGAAAATGGCTCAAGCCTACCAATACCTACCAAAAGTCTCCAAATCCAAAAACCAACAGGAAGTTGAATATTTTTAACGTCTTCTTCGAAAAAAAGTGTAGTTTTTGCCATTTCCAGGTGTTGTATTTTGACAAACTCCTTCTAGGTATTTTATCAGATCAACACTAAAATTGGGTATCATCATCTAAAGGCCTTAGTGATGTTAAAGGGCCATGAAACCCCCTCGTTTCAGCAGGGTGTTTTCACACCTCTACTTTGGAAAAAGTCAGAAAAGTGGGCGTGTCCAGCTCTGTTTAGGGGGGAGTGTCGGAGGAACAAAAGAGGCTTGGTGTGGGAGTGTCTATTTGGGCGCGCTGAATTTCAGAGTCAAAACACACAACCACAGCGGACAATGTGACTGTGTTTACATGGACATCTGTAGTCGAATTATTTGCCAGATTATTAAATGGTGGACTTTAACTGCAGTTTGGCTCTTTCATTCAGGGAATTCATTCATGTCCCTCCCGACAAACGTGATATTTGATTCGAGGCGCTGCTCTAAGCGTGTATTTTTCATGCAATGTTTGATACCGCACGGCGAATGAGAGAAAAAAAACTCAGCATTTCCCGGAGACTTAGATGCACACGGCAGGTAGCGTCAGAAAGCCGCGTGTGTTATTCCGGTCACAAAATCCAACACGAGGTTATAGTTTGGTTATAACTATTAGTGCTAACTTGTAACTAAGCTCTCAGGTAAACAATAATTCTCCTTAGATACGTAAGTTATTGTTGTCGAGCGTCGCGTACACTGTTAATCCACGCGTGAGTCTGCGTTCTCACAGAGAGAAAATGAAAACAAAACTTAACTGCAGCAAACTATAAAAGCAACACTTTATGCTTGTTTGGCAACACAACGTGGCGTCTCTGTCGTCTAAACACTCTGACAGTAATGAATATTAATGACGTTGCACAATAGAGCGCGCTGATTGGTTTGAACGAAGCCTTACTCATGCATTAATGCATCACACTGTAAAACGTAATAAGACACACTCTGGCACAGACGCCCAGTCTGCACGCTGGAATACACGCTATTATCTCATGGCCGTGACGCAGCTTCAAAAATTCGTTTCAAACAGGAAGTACGAATTTGCTTGAAATAACGCAAAAACAACCAATTTACACTTTAGTGAAATATAGGTGTCCTAATAGTGTTTTTAGCAGTGTGGGACACATATACAACTGTCAACAGCTCAAAAAATGTGTTTTGGTGTTTCGTGACCCTTTAAATTGCTAAGATCTAGAAGTAAGTTTGGTGTAAATTAGTGATTTTCTTAGGTTATATATATATATATATATATATATATATATATATATATATATATATTTATATATATATATATATATATATACATACATATACACAGCTGAAGTCAAAATTATTAGCCCCCCTTTGAATTTTTTTTCTTTTTTAAATATTTCCCAAATTATGTTTAATTATGTATTTTGGCTAGAGTAAAAGCAAGTTTTTAATTTTTAAACACCGTTTTAAGGTCAGTATTATTAGCTCCTTTAAGCAATTTTTTTTTCTCGATAGTCATGAGAACAAACCATCATTATACAATAACTTGCCTAATTACCCTTACCTCCCTAGTTAACCTAGTTAAGCCTTTAAATGTCACTTTTAGCTGTATAGAAGTGTCTTGAAATATTGTGTATATATATATACATTAGCTTTAATTATCATTGTCTACAGTTCTCTGTCATCCTAAGTCCACTGGGCAGCGGTGAGCCCAGGTGTGAGGTCCCTTTCATCGCTACTTGCAGCTTCAATATAATATTTACATTTCTTTTCATTTAATTTTGCTATTCTTTTGGACTTCTTATCAACAAATTCTTGGCAAACCTGTATTCTGTTTTTGTAATAAAATTAATTGCTGTTAAACAATAATTAATAATCAGTTTTTAATATTTCCTGAGTACAAAATCACAACGGTTGATTTCATAAGACTTAAAAACACTCTTTTTCCTTCCTAAGATGCAAGGAGAGGCAAAAAGATCAGAACAAAAGCAAACATTATCCTCGACAAGTGTGTTTTTCTTGGTGATTACACAAAACTAAAGTGTGTAAACCATTAGCTGACAAACCATGGCCATGGCCTATTCATTTAGCAGATGCGTTTGAACATGAGTTACATCACAAGCAACATTTCAATAATTGCAGCAGTAGGCGACGTGTCCTCAGGAGTTTGTTTTCCTTATCAAACTTGCGAAGTCTGAACTTACAAGGAGAGGATGCGAGACTGAGCTGTGTGTAGGCTACTTAATTTTGAGGGAAAAGCCCCAATCAGATGGTGAATGTCTGCAGCCCCGCCTCCGTTTTCAGATGTCTCAGTTGTCCTCCATTCACACCAACATGGAGCAGCAGCCTTTCCAAACTAAAACGGCCTCGTCAGTGTTTCTAATTTGTTCTGTTTTTGGCGCTCAAAAACTCAGATAAAGTGTGGATGGATGGCGTAGCAGTAGCAGAACTTATGCGTTTTAAAACTACAACATATTCGTGTAAACGGGGCCTTAAACGCATGCATGACAATATTGTTCTCAAAGACTCTTGTTTTTCCATGATTACACAAACACCACAGATTTGCTGTTTGTGTTTTAGTCACAAAAACGCCATTGTTGAGTGAATGAATGAGCAAAAAATACGTTTAAATAAGTTTACCGTATTTTGCTGAAAACATTGTCTTGTAAATGGTCCCTAGTATGAAAATCTCTTAACCCTTATAGTGCTTTTTTCCTTCCAGTCAGAGCTCAAAGCCTTTATAAAGTTCAACATGATTCACTACAGGAGATTTGCTTGGCTTAAGCTTTATATAGAAGCAGAATGGCCGTTTTTTCTGATGTTGGTGTCTGTAACCATGGCTGTTTCGTCTGACAAAATGTGATTAAGAGTTCTATGAGCCGATGCACTGATTTTATTTTTCCTTCCTCTTTCAGGTCTTTGACAGTGATGGCGGAGCGCAGCTAAATTCCGTTACACATTGTAGTTTTAAGGTACCTTCTGTCATCCTTTTTAAAAATACAAAGTCCTAGAAAAAAAGCTGAGTTTTACTTGTTATGCATAGGGTGGAATCATAAACATATAGTTAACTATACTTCAAGTGTTGGGGAAAATAGTAATACATTACAATACAGGGCCGGAGTGGGACTCCTTTTCAGCCCTGGAGTTTCAAGCCTCAGACCGGCCCACCTCAGTTCACGACTGACTATATTGAAATAAGGTCATTTCCCATTCAGTTTCTAATTACACTATCACGTCTTTTTTTTGAGAAAACAGCTGCTTTAAAACTTCAAATGTTCAACAACCCTAACAGTATTATATGTCTTACCAATAAAAATGAAAAAAAAAAAAAATGACTCAGACGAGGATCAATCCCAGGTCGCTGGCGTCGAAACCTAACGTGCTAGCCACTCGACCACAACAATTATGAAACTATCCTATTGCAGGCTGCATCTTCATCACGAGGCTGCGAGAAAATAGATAAAAAGAGCAGAGCTGCAGGAAGAAGACTGTGGTCAAGTAAATAAATACACTAATTTAAAAAGTGTGACTGCTGAGAGCAACAGATTCTGGAGCTAACGTTAGGGACACCGGCCCTCGCGGCCAAAAAACGGACCGGCCCAACGGGAATTCTCCTGGTCCTCCCGATTAGCCAATCCGGGCCTGTTACAATCTAAAGTCTTTTATTTATTTATTTATTTATTTATTAAAGATGTAACTAAATGTGTTACTTACACTAAAAATATCAATAACTTAGCTGTTTTCTGTATTTTGTGATTCATGTTTTGATTTTTCATAGTTTATTTATGCTTCTGAATTGCATTATGGGACCTTGGCTTCTCTTCCAACAACTTTTAACCTTAAAAAGTTTGAAAAAGAGACTTTTATTAACATTTTAATAACCGCCAGTCCATTTTCTGTTATTTTACATGTTGCAATGTTTACAGTGCTGATCCTACTCTTCCGGGTTTCTTCCCACCGCAGCCTCGCTTTCGTGTTTTAAAATGGCGGCCGTGTGAAATAAGCACATTGCGTTTTGTCCACATCAGATGGTTTAGGTCGACTGATCCAATTGTTCAGTTTCAGATTTGTTGTTTGATTGTTAAAACACTATCCATGGTTCCTCGTGATATAGCGACCCAAACACGGTGTTGCTAAGCCACTATGTTAAAGGATAATAGTTATTTTAGACAGCAAGAGTCTTTTCTCCATCATTCCGTGTTTAGCAGATTCGGGGTGGAGGTTAGCCTCTGTTGATGAATTTGGAGAGGAAAGTCTGCAGTGCTGAAAGCCACACACATTGAGGAGCGTGTACTGGGCGGTTGCTTTTGGCTACTGTGCTGGAAAGTTGACCGTTAGTGCGGTGAATGAATGCACAGTCATCCTGCTGCTGGTCAGGGCTTCATTCACACCCTGCTCTGAAAAAAAAAACCAGAGGGTTATAAAAATTGTCCACTGTTTTCACTGCTAAAAAGGCTCTTACTTAACTGGATGACATGTGTGGACGGTCTGTACTAGGGCGGTTAGCCCTTAGAGCTTGGGACAATTTTTTATTTGTTTTAGTTTTTTTGCATTATTTTTTTATAATGGTGTTTGTGTTTATATGAAGCCTGAAAGTATTTATGCTCCTGGCAAATTTTGACTTAAAGTTACTTTTATTTAACAAGAACGTTTTTTTTTACCATTAATGACACTGTTTTTTCCCAAAATATAACAAGACGATGTACAAGAGGCATCATTGTTGAAAGAAAGATTTTTCCAGATTTTATTTACATTTGAACAAAAACTTTAAGGGCTCTATTTTGACGGTCCGTGGGCAAAGTGCAAAACGCACGGCGCAAACGCTTTCAGGGCGTGTCAGAACGCATTTTTGCTAATTTACGGACGGGAAAATGCGCTTTGCGCCAAGGCACATGGGCTAAAAGGGTTGAGTTTATTTTCTTAATGAGTTATAGGTGTGTTTCGAGAATAAACCAATTAGAGTCTCATCTCCCATTCCCTTTAAGAGCCAGCTGTGGCGCGCCAAGAGCGCATTCGCTATTTACAGGACGCAAAGTAAGTCTAAGTGGAAAAAATGAGCATTTCACAAGCAAACAGTTAACAGTTTTTTAACAGAAAGATGTTAAACAGAGCAGCTACTGCGTGAGAATGACAGATAATGGATCTACTTTCACATTCGCTCTTAGATAGGGAAACCTTTACGCACAGACATCAATTAGTCTATAAATAATTAATTTCGTTTGTTAAGCGCAAATATTTGTTTCAAAACTATTTCTAAATTCAGTTCTAATTTCCAGCAAACGAATAAATGAACAATAATGACCAAGTGTGATCAAAATACTGAGTTATTTTCAAATACACCTGCCATGCCCCATATGGTCTAAAACCTGACAGGTGGGCAAATCTAAGCTTGTTTTTAATAAAACAAATATAAATATGGATATAATAAATAATCCTGCTAATAATAATAACATTATACAAAAGCAAATTGTAATGAATGAACTGAAAAAGCCTCCCGAGATGAAGAAGACATATAAGCAGTGATTTTTCATATTTATGTAGGCTAGAAAATAATATGTTTTGTAATATTTTAATCCTTCATATTTATATCCTATATCTATTCTTATTATATCCTATATATATCCTTAATATTTACATTTTTTCATATGTAAAGATATTTGCCTATTGCTCTCTTGTGCGTATTAAGCAGTGTGTAAGTGAGGGAGTTTAGACCGGGTTTGTTTTGGTCTAATGTTAAATCTATTATAGTTTTACAAAATAGCAACGCGCCAGCGGTCCGCCTCAGAACGCCTCCCTTTTTAGACCAGAACGCCTATGGGCGCACAAATGAACGCTAATGCATTTGCTATTTAAACAGCGTAGCGCAACGCCTCAAAACCACTCTTGTGCCAAGCTGAAACTACCAAAAGTCTACTGCGCCACGCCTTGTGCCACACTGCGCCAGGTGTATGATAGGGCCCTAAGTCAGAATTTGCCAGGGGTATGAATAATTTTGGGGTTAACTGTACACTATCTGACAAAGTCTTGTCACCTGTCCAAGTTTTAGGAACAACAAATAATAATTTGACCTCTAGTTGATCATTTGGTATCAGAAGGTATATAGAACCTCTTGTCTTTACCTTTAGATCTGAGACATGATTGTTTTGTGTGGTCTGTGAAAGTGAATAGGCATATCTGCTTCCAAAACCAGAGACTTAATCTCCACTGAAAAAGAACTTGTGTGTTTCTTTTTGAGCATCACATCCTTAAACTAGTAGAATTCCACTAAATGTTATGTTGTGGGTCAGGAAACAACTCGTATTCTTTAGTTTTAGCTTTACTTTTTATGAAATAATAATAATAATAATATTTTAATAGTGACAAGTCTTTGACCTAAGTCATGTTTCATCTTTGTTTTAATGAATGCTCATGCTCTTCTCTTTCCCAGCGGTTAGGCAGTTTGACGAATGTTTACTCAATTGTGCCACCTGAAGGCAGCCAGTGGGATTGCAGTCGAGAAAGCACAACATGCATCTACATGCCAAACTGCCAGACTGTTACTGTTCTCCTGAAAAGTCATCACACTGTCATGGATGTGTTGGCTGAGACCTGCATGGTAAGGCATCCAAAAATCTACCTTTTTTATAAAGTCATCATAATATTTAGATTAAATACTTTGATTTACCAACAAATCCTTTTTAATTTACCGGTACCTGCTGTTTCTGAAATGTGACAGAATGACAGTCTTTTAGCATCTATCTATCTATCTATCTATCTATCTATCTATCTATCTATCTATCTATCTATCTATCTATCTATCTATCTATCTATCTGTCTGTCTGTCTGTCTGTCTGTCTGTCTGTCTGTCTGTCTGTCTGTCTGTCTGTCTGTCTGTCTGTCTGTCTGTCTGTCTGTCTGTCTGTCTGTCTGTCTGTCTGTCTGTCTGTCTATTCCTCTGTTCATCTGTCCATCTGTCTATCTATCTATCTATCTATCTATCTATCTATCTATCTATCTATCTATCTATCTATCTATCTATCTATCTATCTATCTGTCTGTCTGTCTGTCTGTCTGTCTGTCTGTCTGTCTGTCTGTCTGTCTGTCTGTCTGTCTGTCTGTCTGTCTATTCCTCTGTTCATCTATCTATCTATCTATCTATCTATCTATCTATCTATCTATCTATCTATCTATCTATCTATCTATCTATCTATCTATCTATCTATCTATCTATCTATCTATCTGTCTGTCTGTCTGTCTGTCTGTCTGTCTGTCTGTCTGTCTGTCTGTCCTTCTATCCGTCTGTCCCTCTGTCTATCTATCATCCATCCATCTGTCTACAGTACAGTCCTTATGATAATGGATATTTTTATGTTTCTGAGTGAATATAGACAATATTTTGGTGAGTTTTTTCCTGTTTACTTAAATTTAATTTAATGTTTCTCCACAACATATTAATTTGGATCTGCTCATTCTTGTATTGTGATCTATCTATCGATCTAATGAACAGTAAATTCAAAAGAGCTGCGTTTATTTGAAATAATGTAATTGTGTGACACAGGTTTATGCAGGTTTATTCACTCATCCATTTAGGATTCCATAAACCTTCAGGGCCATTTTTAGGATCCTTGCACACTCAGGAGCCACATTTTAATAAAACTATAGCACGTCATACCAAACTTTTTTTTTTAAATCGTTTTTGGCAGTGGTGTTCGTAGATAAATATAGATACCAATTTTATCGGCCAGCCCTACTGTTAAAAGAATCACATCTTAAGATAGATTTCCCTCTTGTAGCTCGTGGGCCTGGACCCCAGCACACACTGTTTGAGGCTGAGAAGATTCACAGGAGACAAGATGGAGATCTCAACACCATCAGCTCATGAGCTTCTGCAAGGCTTGGTAAGATACCGAGAATGTCAAAGCTATATATTGACATAGGGTGAACTGCATAACCGAGCACTGGTAACGTCTTTCTCACCCTAGCCATATGACGAATTGGAAGTTAGCCAGCTGCAAGTCTACACTCTGCACATGTCTAGACCCAGTCTAACTGGAGACTTTGGTAAGCAGGTCACTGTTGTGTTGTAAGTTTAATGGCTGTTTTGAAAGCTCTTGGGGGCTGATTGCTCTTCACACTGCGCGCTGTTTCTCACTTCTTTTCTTTTTTTTTTTTCTCCTCAAGGCTTTGCTGTTACAGGCTATGTAGACAGCCTCAAAAACAGCCATATCATTGTCAGCGAAGTTCTCCCTGATGGGCTCGCTTTCAGCAAAGGTAATTTCACTTGTAGTCATTTTAGACACTTGCTAGTTATAGCTTTTAGCCACTTTCACACTGTACTAACAGTAACTATCTGTAAAATGTCCAGAATTACTTTGCTGGTTGGCTGTGGTGTTCACATGTTCGCATTCATGCAACTGTTTATTTTGGTCCCAGAGATAAACTAAAATACTGAACTAGAGGAGAAAAATATTGTGGCTATTGCTAGTGAAGGCAGAAAAACTATACACGCAGCTATAAAACAGTTATGGGTAACACTTTATAAAAACTACACACTATGAATCATTTATTAAGCATTAGCAAATAGTGAATTCATTATCTGTTAAGCATTAACTCTAGTAAGTGTTAGTAAGCAGTTTATAACTGCAGCTACAAATGCTCTATTCTTGACTTACAAACATATTTATAATGTGCTTAAAAATTTTAATTTTATTCTTTGTTATTGATTTATTTTTCATTACTTAATTAAGTATTGCATTATTTACAAACCATTTGTATTTAAGAGTTGTTGAGGGTTTTTAGAATCATTCAGAATGAGTTAGTAAATGATTAATAAACTATTGAAATCAACGTTTATATGTCTTACTGCCTAATGACTACAGCCCCATTGACACCCTCTGCCAATGCATTGATGAAATGAGCAATTGGATGTGCCAAAACTTTCTTCAGTTAAACAAAGAGAAAACTGAAATGATTGTGTTTGGAAACAAAGATGAGATTCTCAAGGTAAATGCGTACCTTGGCACTAAAGGTCAAACGACAAAAAATAAGGTCAAGAATCTTGGTGTGACTCTGGAGTCAGATCTGAGTTTCAACAGTCATGTCAAAGCAGTCAGTAAATCAGCATACTATCATCTCAAAAACATAGCAGGAATCAGATGCTTTGTTTCTAATGAAGATTTAGAAAAACTTGTTCATGCTTTTATCAGCAGCAGGGTGGATTACTGTAACGGCCTCCTCACTGGTCTTCCTAAAAAGACAGTCAGACAGTTGCAGCTCATCCAGAACGCTGCAGCCAGAATTCTAACCAGAACCAGAAAATCAGAGCACATCACACCTGTCCTCAGGTCTTTACACTGGCTGCCAGTTACATTCAGAATAGAGTTTAAAGTATTATTACTGGTCTATAAATCACTAAATGGCCTTGGACCTAAATACATTACAGATATGCTCACTGAATACAAACCTAACAGATCACTCAGATCATTAGGATCATATAAACTAGAAGTTCCAAGAGTTCAGTCAAAGCAGGGTGAATCGGCTTTTAGCCACTATGCCCCTCGCTGCTGGAATCAGCTTCCAGAAATGATCAGATGTGCTCCAACATTAGGCACATTCAAATCAAGACTGAAAACACATCTGTTTATCTGTGCCTTTACTGAATGAGCACTGTGCTGCATCCGACAGATTGCACTGTTATGTTTTTCTCTTCTTCTTCATTCTTTTATATCACATTTTACCTGTTTTTATGTTTTGTTTTGTTTTTTACGCATTTTTATTATTTGTTTTTATTTTTATTTTACTTGTTTCTTTTATTCTTGTTTATGTAAAGCACTTTGAATTGCCATTGTGTATGAAATGTGCTATATAAATAAACTTGCCTTGCCTTTCCTTATTATTCAGGCATTTATTATTGGTTACTATGTATGTTAATAAATGCTTTTTTTAACTCAACTTCACCTAGTTTTGTAAAATCTAAATCTAATCTAAAGTGAGGACTATTCATGCTTTATAAATCCATTATAAATGACGAATAAAGGCTCAGTTAAACTCTAAACAGGAAAAATGACATTATTCATTCCTATTCAATTAAAGATACACAAATGAAACTGTATTTTAAATGAAAAATAAATCTTTGCCACCTGATCTAAAATAAAATCACTGTAGAGTTTAACCATTGCATTTTATTATATTGTTCAATTATTATATTGTTGTTGTTGTTTTATCCAGTTTTATGTCGTATTTTGAGACTCCTGTTACACCGCATTGTTTACACTTTACAGTAATTTTACTTTTTAGAAAAGATTGCAAAGATTATTGTTCATTTGATTCTGAGCCTTTATTTGTCATTAATACGGGATTTATAAAGCATGAATAGTCCTCACTTTAGATTAGATCACAAAACTGAGTGAAGTTGAGTTAATAAAGCATTTATTAACATATTAGTTAACTATTAGTATATGCCTGAATAATAAGAAATATAAACGTTGATTTCAATAGTTTATTAATCATTTACTAACTCATTCTTAATTTTCCTAAAACCCTCAACTACTCTTAAATACAACTGGTTTGTAAATAATGCGATACTTAATATAGTTATGAAAAATAAACAATTAACTAAGTATGAAAATACAATTATTAAACACATTATAGGTGCTTATAAGTCAAGAATATAGCATTTGTAGCTGCAGTTATAAACTGCTTACTAACACTTATTAATGTAGAGTTAATGCTTAACAGATAATGAATTCACTAGATGCTAATGCTTAATAAATGATTCATAGTGTGTAGTTATTATAAAGTGTTACCCAGTTATGTTCACACATATGGATTTTTATATATATATACATTTATTTGTTTATTTATTTACTTATTTATACAATTCTTAATGTTTTGGGGGGGACAACTTAATTGTTTTATGTTCAATTCACTTACGTTTGAGAAAACAATTAAGCTAACTTAATGGTTTCGTGTTGGGACAACATGAAGACATTTTGTGGAATCCAGCATTTTTTTTTACAGCGTATATAAGTACACCTCTCAGAAATTTCTTTTAAATTCATATTTTTAATTTTTATTTTTTTAAATAATACAATATTACAGTAGTTCTCAAACTGTGGGACGTGTACCTCTAGTGGTACGCGGGCTTCCTTCTAGTGGTACACAGAGAAATCCAATATGTCATATTTACATGCAACAATACTTTCAAAATTTATCACAAATGATTCAAATATGAATATCAGGACCTATAGCCTATATTTATGGGGTCCAAGCAGCATTTCCAGGTTTTGATGAATAGCATGCTTTAGTTTAACACTTGACATTTAAGTACAGGAGTTTTTTTTTTTTTTTTTTTAACTGTTTAATAACAGTAGCCTACGATTTTTAATCAGCTTTTAAAAGCACATTTTAATTTAAACATTGATATTTTATTTTGTTTGTTTTTTTTACATATAAGCACAGCGCAGTGTTAATGTTCAAACTATTTATAATGTTTAAAGTGGCTGATAATATTAATTTTGTTAGTTATAGTAGTTAATCACGTTTTTTATACTGTGCAAAGTTGTAGCTGCTTTACTGGGCCTACTACGCTACTGTATTTTAATTCTGGTCATTATGGTGGTACTTGGAAGGACAATTTTTTTCTGAGGTGGTACTTGATGAAAAAAGTTTGAGAACCACTGCAATATTATATCTGTGCATATACAGTTGAAGTCAGAATTATTAGCCCCCCTGTTTATTTGTTTCCCCAATTTCTGTCTAACGGAGAGATGATTTTTTTCAAGACATTTCTAAACAAAATAGTTTTATTAACTCATTTCTACTAACTGATTTGTTTTTATCTTTGCTATGATGCTATGAATTTGCAGATTCGCACTCTATAACATCAGAAAGATCCGACCCTTCCTATCTGAACATGCAGCTCAACTCCTTGTTCAAGCTCTTGTTCTCTCCAGACTGGACTATTCCAACTCTCTACCAGCCGGGCTTCCAGCTAACTCTATCAAACCTCTTCAGATGCTTCAGAACGCAGCAGCACGAGTGTCTTTAATGAACCTAAAAGAGCACATGTCACTCCGCTGCCCATCCGTTTGCACTGGCTGCCAGTTGCTGCTCGCATCACATTCAAAGCTCTGATGTTTGCTTACAAAGCGACCTCTGGCTTTGCTCCTTCTTATCTGCTCTCACTGCTGCAGATTTATGTGTCCTCCAGAAACTTGCGTTCTGTGATTGAACGTCGCTTCATGGTTCCATCCCAAAGAGGGAAGAAATAACTTTCCCGAACTCTCGCATTCAATCTGCCCAGTTGGTGGAATGAACTCCCTAACTGCATCAGAACGGCAGAGTCACTCGCTGTCTTCAAGAAATGACTAAAAACTCAACTATTTAGTCTCCGCTTTCCTTCCTAATCTGCAATTGCCTCTCTGGTTCTACCGCTACCTGTATTACAAAAAAAAAAAAGACTAATGTTTTGCTTCTTACACTTTACACACCTGAAACTTGCCTACAGCACTTATTCATTGTTGCTCTTATAGTTGTGTAAATTGCTTCCTTGTCCTCATTTGTAAGTTGTTTTGGATAAAAGCGTCTGCTAAATGACTAAATGTAAATGATGACAGTAAATAATATTTGACTAGATATTTTTCAAGACACTTCTATACAGCTTAAAGTGACATTTAAAGGCTTAACTGGGTTAATTAGGATAAGTAGGCAGGTTTTGGTAATTAGGCAAGTTGTTGTATAACAATGGTTTGTTCTGTAGACTATCAAAATAAAATATTGCTTAAAGGGGCTAATAATATTGACCTTAAAATGGATTTTGAAAAATTAAAAACTGCAGAAGAAAAAATATTGTCAGGCATACTGTGAAAATTTCCTTGTTCTATTAAACATCTGAAAAATATTTTAAAAAGAAAAAAAATCAAAGATGGGCTAATAATTCTGACTTCAACTGTATGTATGAAAAGGGCTTCAAGTTATTCAAGTTTTGCTGTTTGGATACGTTAAACTGAATATTTATCATTAGTGAAGATGCTTGTCTTTCATTTATTGTATTTAACCTTTGTTACATGTCGTTTTATTGCTAGGTCTTAGGCCTGGTGATGAGATCGTGGTTCTGAACGGTTGTGAGGTGTCTTCTCTGGACCTGACTCTCATACAGACTTTATTTAATGAGCAGAATCTGCAGCTGACTGCGAAACGTCACCTGCCCTCCATTCCACATGATTCAGACACAGCAAACGTGCAGTCCCCGTACAGAGATATCCATCAAAACCGCCAGAGAGCCAAGTCCTCAACAGGTACACAAGATGCACCCAGCCATTCAACCGTGCAAGTGTATGTATAGCAGACCAGTGTTTCTCAACCACGTTCCTGGAGGACCACCAGCTCGACACATTTTCCTTTACTCCTCAACCTAAAACACCTGATTTAGATCATCAGCTCATTAGCAGAGACTGGAAGACCTGTAATGGGTGTGACAGACAAAACTATCCAAAACATGCAGTGTTAGAGGTCCTCCAGAAACATGGTTGAGAAACACTGCAGTAGCTTGCTCTTTTCCACCAAGCTTACAGTTTTTTTCCATTTGTTAAGTGGAAATGGTACCAAAATGAAAAAACCATACCACTTTGTGGTAGCTTTCCATTGGGGTAGTCCAGTCCAGTAGTCCAGTACCTAAAAGGTGGATCTACAGTAGACTCACTGCAGAAAGGGATTGGTTAAAAGAAGATTATTAATTGTGTCAATAACAAGATCTATCATTTGTAAAATATACAGTAATGTTAGTGTGTAGTAGTTTCTGGCATACACTACACCTGTCAAGTGTACTGTTGGCTGTGGAAATGCAAGCCTGATTTGGGGTGTTCCTTAAAGGGCGATGAAACCCCCCGTTTCAGCAGGGTGTTTTCACACCTCTAGTTTGGAAAAAGTCAGGAAAGTGGGTGTGTCTAGCTCTGTTTGGGTGGGAGTGTCGGGGGAGGGAAAAGGGGAAGGATTTGAATAAAAACGGGAGTTTCATTTGGGCACACGCTGATTTTCACAGAGGAAAAACAAACACACAGACGCAGGGGAGAAAGACAGTAACTGTGTTTAATGACGGTGGAATGTTTGATACCGCATGTCGTGTATGAGAAAAAAACTCTGCATTTCTCCGTGGGTCAGAAAGCCGTGTGTGTGTAGACAATCCTGTCACAAAATGCTGCGAAAATAAACACGACTGTCGGTAATAGTCTGCTTGCAGTGTTCACGTTTACACTCCAAGAGCTGCATTTACATTGGATCTTTCAGTCCATAATATTGTAGTGATATTAACGTAAACTAAGTAACTTAGAAATCATTTTAACCAAGGTCTGTCTTTAAACACTAAAAGAGTACTGCTGACGATACAAACTTTAACTTTGCCATCTGAATGAACAAAGAAAAGGCACTGATCGCACACACCGAATCTGTAAAGACAGGACAATCAACACATACTGGAGCTGCGTCTTTTTTTAAAGCAGCAAATCCAGATTTCACAATTTCCAGATGTGAAAAGCTCTTGGGTAAAAAAATTCCCTACACACTACTGCCTCCTGTGGAGCAGAAAGGCATGTCTTCTTGCGCAGGCATAGAACCGGGCTCTCGTTTCAGTCGGCTTTTGTCTGTTTGGTGTGTTCACGTGCAGCTTTTTGGTCCAGACATGATCTAACATGACAGCACAGTTGAACGTTGTTCTTTGCTAGTTGTTTGGCATCAGCTTGGTGAGTCCCGGCCCTTAAGCTGCGTTCACACCAGACGCGGAACGTGCGTCAAGCACGAGTGATTTACATGGTAAGTCAATGCAAACGCGCGAGTAGACATCCTGCGGCGCGATACGCGCGAATGGCGCAGCGTGAATGACGCGAATGGCGTGAATGGCGCGAATTGCGTGAATGGCGCGGGGCGAATTAAGCGTTTTGCGCATTTGGCGCGATTAACGAGCGTTTCGCTCGAATCTCTCGAGTTCGAAAATCTGAACTTCAGCAGACATTCACGCCGCGTTAACCAATCAGAAGCTTGCTCTTGTGGGGGCGTGATTGTGACGTAGAACCTGTTGATGGTCTCCCGGGGGAAATCCTCCAGGCGACACCGACAACAAGTCATCAAACTGGGCTTGGCTGAGTCAGAAGCACCGCTGAAAGCCTCCGTGATCCAGGTTCAGTTTCTGAAGGAGTTTATGAGCTCACAGAGCTGGATGCTCCTCTGAAAGGATGTAGTGGACTCAGACAGGACCCTAAACGTATCTGCGCTGTTTTTCAGCCTTCATAAAGCACAAACACTGTTATTTTCTTCATAAAATCCATGTTAGCCATTTAGCTATGAAGCTAGATTCAACAGAAGCCCTGCCCATCACGCGAATCCGCGTCTGTTTCGAAGTGAATTTGACACGCGAATGAAGCAGATTTGACGCGTGAATGAAGTGAGTAAACTCAAATGTTCACGCGGCTATTTACGCGCAAATAGCGCGATTTATCCGCACGTTCCGCGTCTGCTGTGAACACAGCATGAACTTAAGCTAGTTCTGCACCTGCCATTTTGTTTTCAAATTTTCAACCATTGTGTTTTTGCTAACAGCTTAGCCTCCATCAAAGGCCTTCAGGTTGTATTTGTGTATACAGTGTGTGTGCATGTGTGTAGTATAGCAGTTATTTTTTTCTCTGAAGATGCCACCTCAGACAGCTTTCTCTTCACTTGTTATGCATTCAGACTCATTTTAAGACATTTAACACTCGTCACACCTAAACCGTAAAGCTTCCTCTTCCAGTTTTCTTGCCTCTGACTTCCTCAAACTGACTCATTGTCTGTAATTACACAGTCATTTGTATAGTATCGTAAGCAGGGTCATAAGTATGAGCCGCATTTGTGTTGTTAGCTGGATTTGAACTCTGCTTCTCCAGGTAGGTGACAGAACGAATATCACAGCATGTGTTGATATATTTAGTTCTAGTTAATACTTGCAAGGTTAAAGGCTTAAGTTTAACTATCAGCACACTAAAGTCATTTTTCCAGAGCCTTAATGAGGCTTATCAGGAGTTATTTGTCTAGTTTGTGGAACAAAATACTCAATTCTGGTTGACTCGGGTGTCTTTAAAGGGCTATTTCACCCAAAACTAAAGATTCTGGCATCATTTCTTCACCCTTCATGTCACAAACCAGTTTCTTCTGTTGAACCCTAAATATATTTTTAAGAAAGCTGCAAACATGTAACCATTGTTACATTTTTAGAGTATTTGTTTCTCCTATGGATGTCAATGGTTAGATGTTTGCAGATTTCAACAAAAGATCTTCTTTAGTGTTCATTAACATCATATATGATGTACTTAGATTTGATGACTTACTTAGATTGTTTGCCTTGTTTCTAGTCCAAATATCTAAAAATTCTTATATCAAGAAGCATTTTTGAGCCAAGAAAAACATATTGTCTTGTTTTCAGAGTTTTTCCTTAAAGCAAGCTAAATAATCTGCCAATGGGGAAAGCAAAATAATCTTGTTTTTCCTTTTGACAGACGATTATTTTGCTTACCCCATTGGCAGATTATTGTGCTTGTTTTAAGGAAAAACTCGCTTCATTTTGGCATACTATTTCTGAAAATAAGACGATATGTTTTTCTTGTCTAGACAATTCTTCTTGATTAAAGAATGTTTAGATATTTGGACTAGAAACAGGACAAAAAAATCTAAGAAAATCAGTTTTTGCAGTGCATTTTCAGTTTGGGATGAACTATTTCTTTAAAATAGCCTAATACAAAGCATTTGAAGCTTGAATGTTCTGCGAAATTACTTGCAAAATGTGCTTTTGCTGCTGTAGGGTTAGGGAAAGGGGTCAATACATTTTGTAATCATGTGGAGATTTTTTTTTTTTTAATATAGCTACAATTTAACAACAGTACATACAGTGAAGTCAGAGAACATGAACAGAACATGAAGTCTGAATTATTAGCGCCCCTGTTTATTTTTTTCCTCAATTTCTGTTTAATGGAGGGAAGATTGTTTCAACACATTTCTAAACATAATAGTTTTAATAACTCATCTCTAATACCTGATTTATTTTATCTTTGCCATGATGACAGTCAATAATATTTTACTTGATATTTTTCAAGACACTTCTATACAGCTTAAAGTGACATTTAAAGGCTTAACTAGGTTAATTAGGTTAACTAGGCAGGTTAGAGTAATTAGGCAAGTTAGTGTATAATGATGGTTTGTTCTGTAGACTATCGAGAAAAAAAAATAGCTTAAAGGGGCTAATAATATTTACCTTAAAATGGTTTTAAAAAATTAAAAACTGCTTTTATTCTAGCCGAAATAAAACAAATAAGACTTTCTCCAGTAGAAAAAATATTATCAGACATACTGTGAAAATGTTCTTGCTCTGTTAAACATCATTTAGGAAATATTGAAAAAGGAGAAAAAAAAAATCAAAAGGGGGCGAATAATTCTGACTTCAACTGTATATTGCAATGATTTACCATTAAGTTTAACATTAACCAACAACAATATCCAGTTAAAAACAGAAAACAATCACCTGAAACATAGTCAGATGCTGTGGATATTAGATATATTGCCTGTCTATTTTATTACACTAAAGAAAAGGCAACTTGAAATTGTGAGGCAACTTGCTGCGGAGCTTTTCTAGTTGACTTAAATCGAGTCAAGTGCAGTACTTGAGTTAAAAGTTGAGTCACTTTTTTTTTTTTTTTTATAGTGTATTGTTGTTTTTGTACATATTGTTTAGGTCAAACTTTATTTTAGTGTAAAATTCACACTTTTAACAAACCATTGAGTAAGACTTTTAGCTCAAACTACTAATTTAGCTGCTTATAATTAGTTAGTAAGGAAGAAGTTGGTATCAAAGGCTATTGGTAACAGATTTGTTGGAGATTAAGTCTTTTTTTTTTTTTGAACTTTATTTTTATACATTAAAACGTTTTACAGAACAGAACATTCAGTGACAGCAGCGGTCATTAACAAAAAATAATAATAATAATAAATAAATAAAAAAAATAAAAATAAAAAAAGACAGTAGCCGCAGATGTAAATAAAAAATTACAAAAAAAAAAAAAAAAAAAAAAAACATACAATATTTTCAGTTTCAAAGGAGCTAGAAATACTATGTCCTATTCAGGTACAACGTAACAGGTGCCCATCTTTGTTTAAAAATATCCAGTTTTAGTTGAAGTTGAGCAGTCATATACTCCATTCTATATATACAATCAAGTTTTTCTATCCACTGTGCTATTGTTGGAGGGTGTGGCTTCATCCAATTTATTGTTATGGTCTT